TCATTTAAACAACCTAACGCTTATTACCTTCGTTATTCGAGTTTAACTTATTGCTTATGTCTCTTATCAGCAGCACTTAATTAGAACTGTGTTTTGCTCTACACCTTTCACAATCCGGTAGCTCTTATTTACGATAATCTACACCGTTGAGTCGTTTAATAACCGGGTATGATCCTTGTCAACTACACGGTAATTTGGGAGACACCCCTTCCTTTTGTTGCGGGTTATATACAATACCAAAACTCGTTCAACAAAACCCTCACAGTTTATTGCCTTTGTCGTATTTTGCTTTCATTTTATCGTTAATTTAAAATTTTAAATCAATCGGTAGTCGAAGATTATTACCAAAAATTAACCTTGCTGGAGTCTGCCCCGTTGTTTCATGTACAGCAGACCGATAAGCCATCAGGAACAAGGATATATGGGTATCCCAATCTTTTTGATACTTATCCATAACTTTCCGCATATATTCTTCCAAAGTTCGATTGAANCGAATTTTGTGAACATTTTTAAACGGAAAACTATACAATTCGAATTTCATTTGCATACGCGGAATTAATAAAGTGGCAAGTAAGTGGTGGGCTTAACACCCACTGATTTCGCCTTTTAATTCTGCGGGATTCTTAGTGGTAGTCCATTGTTTTAGTTGTCATCTGTTCAGTAGCTCATGAACTCGTGGTTTACTTTGCCAGCACTGGAAGTTCATGAGCTCTTTCAGAAGGCAAAGAGAGGAGTTTCGGATCATTTTATCTATGTGTACTGTGCTTCGTGTGACTGTTTTTTGGTTTTCCGTTATTGTTCATCTTTTGGTTTATAATTAAGTTCAAAGATTCTTACATAAAAGTGTGGGGTATAAAACCAAGGTGTCTTAATTTAAACTAGCTTAACCCGGACGTTAGGCGGTCAAGAAATTTCCTTTAAAGTTGCAATACACACACACTTTTCGATTACCACACTCTCACTTTTCGAACTTGAAAGCCGTCTTGATATCAATTTCCTCATTTAAGTCGAGTGATAAGTTGACGATCAAGTTTGAACATAGTTTTGCAAACAAATAACTTGCTTTTGTCGGGAATATTAATATTTCGATATATCTATGGATTGATGTCAAAATATAAGAAAATCAATACATTACATTAGAAACTTCGTGCAAAAGTTATAAGAATTTTGAGTTGTTTCCATAACAACGGCATCTTGAAATTATTATTGATTATCATGTTGTTTGCAGCATACGTCACGGCTGTCAATATAAATCCATTTTTACAAGTAGTTCGTGTGATTAACTTGAAAGCTAGTAAGTAGATTTCAAGGCTCAAACTAACAAATTATCGAATTATCCCTATAGATAGTTTTGCAGTCTATTGAACAGTATCGATAAGGACAGCTTTACGTTAATAAAACGAATTTCTCGATAAGTAGCCTACCTTGTAACTCACTCTTGAGTTACTGAATTGTTATATTAAAGACCCATTTAATACTATACACTTATCTATATTTCTAATTTCAACAACTTAACACTTATTGCTCGTTATCTGAGCTTGCTATAAATTAATTGTTCTTTACACGGCAACACTCTATTAGAACTATGTTTGCTGCACAATCCGGTAGCCCTTATATAGTAAATTTTAACAAAACTTTGCCTCTAGTAATTCTGGCACCATGAAATCGCTGTCTAGTGTTTCTGGCAATATCGTCGTTCGATTTTGTTCTATCATCCATTTTCGTCGCAATATACCGCGCAATACGGAGTATGATATTTGTGTACGTGTAGTATTCACTCGTTATCCATCAATTACCAAAATGAATCACGATCCAAATATCACAATTAATATTGAACGTATGACAGGCGCCATAGCGATACAGCACAAACAGTCACCGACATTCCTCCCTACCGTACCACCTCCGTATTAAACCAAATTTGTCAAAACTTATGCCCGTAAAGAAACGCAGAAATTTCCATTTCACAAATGTTGCCATTGTTCTATTTGTATACACGCTTTTTCACACATCTAGTTTGTTAGTTATAATTTTTCATAATGTAAAAGCTCAAAACTAAAAACCAACCATTAAGAAGAGTTTACCTTTTTATAAATAAGCACATCCGACTGTGTTTTGAGCTATAAGAATATTCGAATAAGTTCTTTTAATTACTACCAATAATCGAGATTGTTGAAGAGGACGGAAGAAGGGTGGTGACTGTTTATTTACATTGCGTCTCATAAGATAGGTCATATAGCTGATCTGGTCTACGGTTATGCAAAGTGAAATTGCTTGTGCAAAAAATTTGTAAGTACAAATGATATGTCAGAGCTATTTTATGCTTCTGTTGGTGAGATAACGTTAAACTTGTTAGAGCCTTGAGTAATTTTACATTTCACATATTAGTGGCAACCCTACAGCTGCTCATTGTCGGAGGCAAATTAGAAATAGTTTTAATTTGGCGACAGTGACAACTGCTCTAAATAACTGTGCCCATAAGAACGTGTGTATTTTAATATTTTACAGATTTTGTCCTGTCGTCTGCCGCCGTATTGTGTCTCATAAATTAATGTTTAGCAATATATGCCTAAATATATTCATCCATATTACAATGAGCAGTTATTTTGGTGGTATGACAGTTCTGTTTTGTATTTTGTATATGAATAAAACATAAATGTTAGCTAAAGATGGCGAATAGTTATTGATCTACACAAATATGTATACATACATTAAGTTATTGACTGGGATAAGTAAAGTGCTTTCTACGTTTTCATCATCCTCATTAAATTTCTAAATCATTCAGAGTCAAACTTTCGCTACATCAGATCAATAATACTACGCGATGCCATTTCGATAATGATTATTACATGACATTAAATGCCGCACAAAATATTTCCATTCTTAATGAACTAGAATCGACAGATGACAATGGTGCTGCCGTGAAACGAGGTTCGTTTTCTGGCTCCAATATCGAAAATTTAGGCACAATTACGATTTCTTTGGCATCGCGATCTGAAGGTATTGTAACGAACAACTCACTCTTGAGTTCGATCACATAATTGTTAAATAAAAGTCTCAATTTAATGACTATACACTTATCTTTTTTTTCTAATTTAAACAACCTAACGCTTGTTACTCGTTATTCGAGTTTACAACTTATTGCTTATAGTTCTTTAATAAGCAGCACTCTAATTAGAACTGTGTTTGTTTACAATCCGAGTGCTCTTATTTACGATAATCTACACCGTTGAGTCGTTTAATAACCTGGTATGATCCTTGTCAACTACAGTAATTTGGGAGACACCTTCCTTTTGTTGCGGGTTATATACAATACCAAACTCGTTCAACAAAACCCTTACAGTTTATTGCCTTTGTCGTATTTTGCTTTCATTTTATCGTTAATTTAAAATTTTAAATCAATCGGTAGTCGAAGATTATTACCAAAAATTAACCTTGCTGGAGTCTGCCGCGTTGTTTCATGTACAGCAGACCGATAAGCCATCAGGAACAAGGATATATGGGTATCCCAATCTTTTTGGTACTTATCCATAACTTTCCGCATATATTCTTCCAAAGTTCGATTGAATCGTTCTACCATGCCATCGGACTGCGAATTTAGTGCAATTGTACGGATTTACCGGACACCCATGGATTAGAGCTGATTTAAAATTTTCCATTGGTCAGAATGTAATTCAATTTGAACACCATATCTCGATACCCAAATTTTGATGAATACATCCGCTACTGTTTCTGCTTCTTGGTTAGGTATTGCACATACCTCTGGCCATGTACTGAAATAATCCATGACTACCAAAACATATTTGTTTCCTAATTTACCGATAGGCTACCAGCTACATCCGTGCCAATTCGCTCAAAGGCCGCACCTGAACTATACCGCTTCATTTGACCATGACTCCTGGACCTCGGCTCTTTAGCAGCAATACACTCGGCACAGTTGGCGATCTATTCCGTAGCTGATTGACAACAACCAACCCAATTAATACCTTGTTTTAATATCTCCGGGGTTTAGTGATACCAAGTCATAATTTTGGAGTCTCCCAATCCACCGTGTCAACTCTCCTTCTGGGTTACTCAATATTTTTTCTGGCTTTCTCATTTTCCGGCTATAATACGCAACAACTATCCACACCCATCAATGACTTAGATAACACCTCCTACTTCATACCCACTATCATCCAAAATAAACGCTGATCCGGAGATTGAAGAGCATTTATTCCACTCAAAATCTCTGTTATTTTCCGTGACTTCATGGAGGCTAATTACGTTGGCAAAATTTGGAACGAATCTCGAATGATCTCATTTCATTAGTGAATGTATAAAAACGTCGACAACTCTCAGAGCAGTTTACATGGTAACATGAAAATGTTAACTTCATTATTTTTAAGTGAATACTTCTTTGGCCGCATAGAGCATATTTTTCAAGGCCGTGTTAGACCTTTTACTGGTTGCTGTAAGCAGCTACGTCTCTGTTTGGGATGCCATAAAGAAATTGTAGCAATCCATATGTTTGATCGGTTCATTTCGCTATCTTCTAGCTGCACATTGACACATACATACATCACTTCGGATTCGTTCGGATCTCAAACGCTGAACCCATAGACGATGACAGGCGACAGGCTGCTTCTGTCAAAATTACAATACCGTTCTTTTAGGCACAGTTATTTAAACAACAAACATCTCACGGAGAGTCTTGCAGTAGTCCTGTCACTAAATTAAAGCCATTCCTAATTTTGCCGACGACAATGGACAACTGTAGTGTTAACACTAATATGTGAAATGTAAATTAATTTAAAGCTCTAACAAGTCTAACGTTATTTTACCAACAGAAACATAAAATAGCACTTATATAAATTTATAATTTAAACAAATAAATAAAACGATTCTCTTTTTGTACAAACATTCCACTTCTCAAAATATTTAAATTTCAATGAGGTGAAGGTTTAGTACGGCTACCGAAGTTGTGTACATCAGCTTGATATGGTCACGCGTATTCAAAATTATCGTCTTGATTTTCAAAATCAATATGTTTTATACTTATGTAAATATAACCTTCGCAATCACAATTTTTCGTAATCTTGTATTCTATCATTTTTGTCATTGAACATATGTACATACTTTTAAAGAGGCTGCAGCACATAAGTACATACAGCTGACCGCGAGCTCTGTTGTGCATATTTCGGTAAGAGTGTAAATGGAATTCGAGTTGTAATATTTTGTGTTGAGTAAGAGGTTTACTTTTATAAAATCTGAAAAACAAATAATTACGAAAGTATTCCATTAAATTATTATACGCAGAGTAATTTAATTGTTGTCTAAACTACAAGATCGGGAAAATATGCGTGTTTAGAAAACGGCTAAATTTGGAGCGGAGCGTAATCGAGAATACAGAGCACGAAAAAAGGATTGCATCCTACGCAATGTATGTATTATGAATGTAATCGCAAATAAAAATATTTCAAGGGTAATGTCGGTTTTAGTTTCGTGAATATTTTCAACTACTAGATTTTTATTCTTTTATATTTTATATAGTTCATTAATTATTGTTCAAGCTGACATCCATCACCAAGAGTCGTAGTTGCCCAACATCTCGTGAAAATACAGTACACGAACAATTTATTGATTATAGTGATAATGCAGCAATAAAACACAAACCAATATACCAACACAGACCGTTGTCGGGAATATAGAATGTGAAATAAGGCTAAAATGCGATATCAAATTATAACTGAAGCTTCATCTTCATACTTGGCTAGATATTGAGATATTATTGTGCATAATTAATCATCCAATCCAGAAAGCACAGCAAAAACACCTGAACAGAGAAGTCGAGAGTATATAGCATGACGGAAATATTTGCAGAACGTGATTGCAACAATCAGTCCAAAGCAGGCGGTTTATAATGAATGCGATACTCCACATTTTCATACAAGTGCAACAAATTTCACGGCACGTACAGTGAGTTTGACTGATATTAGCGATACCCGATATTTTAATGTAAAATATTAAATGGAAAAGAAATGGTCATCGCAGCGATCTACGTATCTCCTAACCAAAAAATGTTGAGGATATCATGTATTTCATACAGAGTTTGTTGGTTATGTACATTCATGGCGGTGCTGATATTCTTGGCGGGGGTGACGATCACATATCGGTTTAGATATGAATAGTGACCGGAAAATTGCCACGACTAAATCAAAAACAACGATTGATGCTCTATTCTTCAGAAATCTACACTATTTAGACTGTTTCATATTTCAGTTACCATAGAGCCATAATATACGCTATACCTATACCTGACTGAAGATAATGTGAAAATTGGAGAAATAAATTATATATTAAATTTGTATATTCACATCTATCACGTGTACTGTGCTTCACGCGACTTTTTTTTTTGCGTTATTGTTCATGTTTTGGTTTAGAAATACATTCAAAGATTCTTATATAAAAGTGAGGGGTATGAAGCCAAGGTTTCTTAATTTCAACTAGCTTAACCCGTACGTTACGCGATCAAGAAATTTCTTTTAAGTTGTAATACACTCACACTTTTCTATTACCACACACTCACTCTTCGAACTTGAAAGCCGTCTTGATATCAATTTCCTCATTTAAGTCGAGTGGCAAGCTGACGATCAAGTTTGAACAGCTGATCACATAGTTTTGCAAACAAATGACATGCTGTTGTCGGAAATATTAATATTTCGTTATATTCATGGATTTATATCAAAATATAAGTATATCAATCCATTACATTAGAAGCTTCGTTCAAAATTTTGAAGAATTTTGAGCTATTTCCATAACAACGGCATCTTGAAACTATTATTGATTATCATGTTGTTTGCAGCATACGTCACGGCTGTCAATATAAATCCATTTTACAAGTAGTTCGTGATTAACTTGAAAGCTAGTAAGTAGATTTCAAGGCCAAATACAAAATTATCAATTATCCGTCTATAGATAGTTTTGCAGTCTATTGGAACAGTATCGATAAGGACAGCTTACGTTAATAAATTGTAACGAATTTCTCGATAATAGCCTACCTTGTAACTCACTCTTGAGTTCGATCACGAATTGTTATATTAAGTCCCATTTAATACTATACACATCTATATTTCTAATTTCACAACTTAACACTATTGCTGTTATTCGAGCTTTGGCTATAAATTAATTTTCTTTACACGGCAACACTCTCATTAGAACTATGTTTGCTGCACAATCGAGTCCCTTATATAGTAAATTTTAACAAAACTTTGCTCCTAGTACATTCTGGCAACTACGAATCGCTGTCTAGTTGTTCTGGCAATATCGTTGTTGATTTTGTTCTATCATCCATTTTCGTCGCAATATACCGCGCAATACGGGAGTATGATATTTGTTGTACGTGTAGTATTCACTCGTTATCCATCAATTACCAAAATGAATCACGATCCAAATATCACAATTAATATTGAACGTATGACAGGCGCCATAGCGATACAGCAGAAACAGTCACCGACGTTCCTCCCTACCGTACTTACCGCCCGTATTAAACCAAATTTGTCAAAAGTTATGCCCGTAGGAGCAACGCAGAAATCAGTTCTTCTCCTCTGTTTCCATTTCACAAATGTTGCCATTGTTCTATTTGTATACACGATTTTTCACACATCTAGTTTGTTAGTTATAATTTTTCATAACGTAAAAGCCCAAAACTAAAATCCAACTATTAACAAGTAAGAAAGGGCTAAGTTGGGATGTAACCGAACATTTTATACTCTCGCAAAGTCAAATGGTATACTCGTTTGAGATATCTTGGTGGATTGGCTGATATTTTCGGTAGAAGGTCAACTATAGGCACTGGGGTCCACATAATTAGTACTTAGGGGCTTCAACAGTTTTGGTTCGATTTAGACAATTTTTGGTCACAAGGCATACTTTAAACGTAACGGGCAAAGTTTTACCCCGATATAATCCCTGTTGCTTGATATGCATAGTGGAAAGTGAAAGAATCAGATGGAATTAAAATGGTGTTATATGGGAAGGAGGCGTGGTTGTAGTCCGATTTCGCATTTTCGCACTATTACATAGAAATATGAGAAGAATGTTACGTACCGAATTTGGTTGAAATCGGTTAAGCAGATCTCAAGATATGGGTTTTCACCTAAAAGTGGGCTGTGCCACGCCCACTGTCTAATTTTGGACGCGGTTCCTATAAAGTCATCTCATACCATCCTAGAGATAAAATTCAATGTCTATGGCGTGTTTAGTGCTTGATTTATCGCGCTTTTAGTAGTTTTTAACAGTACCGTTATATGGGGAGTGGGCGGAGTTGCCACCCGATTTTAACTATTTTCACACTGTGGGTAGAGGTTCTAAAAACATTTGCTTCCAGTGAATTTTGTTATTATAAGATCAGCGGTTTAGGAGATATGCACATTAAACCTATTAGAGGCGGGACCACGCCTACTTTTTAAAAACAATTTTAACTGCAGATGCCCTTCCCTAATGTGATCCTGTGTACCAAATAACAGTCTTATATCTTATTGCGGAGCTTAGTTATGGTAATTTATTTGTTTTTGATTAATGGCGTTTTGTGGGCGTGGCAGTGGTCCGATTACGCCCATCAGCAATACCAACCGTCTCACGGTACCCAAAAACATGTCTACCAAGTTTCATAAAGATATCTCAATTTTTACTCAAGTTACAGCTTGCACGGGCATACAGACGGACAGACGGACGGACGGACAGACAGTCACCCGGATTTCAACTCGTCTCTTCATCCTGATCATTTATATATATATAACCCTATATCTTACTCGATTAGTTTTAGGTGATACAAACAACCGTTAGGTGAAAAAAACTATTATACTCTGTAGCAACAGGTTGCGAGAGTATAAAAAGAGTTAACCTTTTTATAAATAAGTGTATCCGACTGTGATTTTGAGCTATTTTAAGAATATTTCGAATAAGTTCATTTTTTAATTACTACAAATATTCGATATTGGCAACCCTACGTTGCAAGAAACTGCTCGCTCACTCTCAGCTCACTCGTTTCTGGCGAAAAAATCCAACTTTCGCGGATATCCTACCGTACGGTCTGTTGGAGGGGACGGTAGAAGCGGTGGTGAGTGTTCATTTACATTGCACTCTTATAAGATAGGTCGTATCAGCTGATTCGGTCTACGGTTTTGCATAGGTGACTGCTTGTGCCATTACGATGCGGCGACGACGCCGAGCATCTCGACAGGCAATTAAACATTTCTAAACATCTGTATTCCAAGCAATATTGCCGAAGGAGACTTCACATTGTTAAGCCTTAAACACATAGAAGACTGCACAGCTCGACCTAGCGACAGGGCACTTTTCTTGTTTCCAAAAGCTGTCCTGAAGCCAGCTTCATGAATATTTTGTAGACGGTAGCGCCATATTATCTTTAACTTCAATGAAACATAAAAAATTTTGCAAAGTGAAGTTGCATGTGCAAAAAATTTGTAAGTACAAATGATATGTCAGAGCTATTTTATGCTTCTGTTGGTGAGATAACGTTAAACTTGTTAGAGCCTTGAGTAATTTTACATTTCACATATTAAGTGCAACCCTACAGCTGCTCATTGTCGTGGGCAAATTAGAAATAGTTGTAATTTGGCGACAGTGACAACTGCTCTAAATAACTGTGCCCACAAGAACGTGTGTATTTTAATATTTCACAGATGCTTCCTGTCGTCTACAGCCTTATTGTGTCTCTTAAGTTAATGTTTAGCAATATATGTCTAAATATATATCTTTCCATCCATTGCAAACAGTAAACAGTTATTTTGGTGATTTGACAGTTCTGTTTTCAATTTTACTGAAATTTTATAGCAAATACATATATATATCTATATTTATGTTATATAGCTGTTAGCTTAAGATGGAGAATATTTATTGAATACACATATATATGTAAGCACATATTAAAGTATTGACTGGGTAAGTGAAAAAGTGCTTTGTACGCTTTCATCATCCTCATTAAATTTCTAAATCGGTCAATAGCTCAACCTCTTGCTACATCAGCTCGAACATACCTACGCGTTGCCATTTCGATAATGATTATTACATGACATTAAATGCCCGCACAAAAATATTTCCATTCTTAATGACAATAGAATCGACAATTAACGAATAACTCACTCTTAAGTTCGATAACATAATTGTTAAATAAAAGTCCCAATTTAATGACTTTACACTTATCTTTTTTTTCTAATTTAAACAACCTAACGCTTATTACTCGTTATTCGAGTTTAAAACTTATTGCTTATAGCTCTTTATTAAGCAGCACTCTAATTAGAACTGTGCTCTTACTTAGTAGATTGTTCGCAAAAATTCGCCACTCAAACATTTTGTCAACTACGAATTTCGATGTCGATCCTATTTTGTTCTGACATCCATGTTCGCCACACGTCCCGATTAGACATATTTGCAGTACCAAACGCTGCAAGCCATTCCAGATGAACTACCTTCAGTTTATTCTAACCTCTTCCAATAGTCTGAATGCGATAATCTACACCGTTGAATCGTTTAATAACCTGGTATGGTCCTTGTCAACTACACTGTAATTTAGAAGACACCCCTTTCTTATGTTGCGGGTTATATAACAATACCCAAACTCATTCAAAACAACCCTCAGAGTTTATTGCCTTTGTTGTATTTTGCTTTCATTTTATCGTTTATAATTTTGGTGCGCTGTCTTACCATAGCATATATATCCCTCATTTCCTCTTCTAGGATGCTGTTGAACTCCTTAGCATCCCTTCCTCCGTTGGCGTTAATTTCAATTTCATTAAATCAATCGGTAGTCGAAGATCATTACCAAAAACTACCCTTGCTGGAGTCTCCCCGTTGTTTCATGTACAGCAGACCGATAAACCATCAGGTACAAGGATATATGGGTACCCCAATCTTTTCGATATTTGTCCACAACTTTCTACAAATGTTCTTCCAAAGTTTGATTGAATCTTTCTACCATGCCATCGGACTGCGAATGTAGTACAATTGTACGGATTTTCCGGATACTCAGTTTCTGGAACATCTCCTGGCTGATTTTAAATTTTTCATTGGTCGAAATGTAATTCAATTGGAACACCATATCTCGATACGCAATTTTTGATGAAAACATCCGCTACTGTTTTTGCTTATTGGTTAGGAATTGCGTATACCTCTGGCCATTTGCTGAAATAATCCATAACTACCAAAACATATTTGTTTCTTAATTTACCGATAGGAAATGGAAAAGCTGGATCCGTACCAATAAAATCCGTGTTTTAATATCTCCAAGATTTTAGTGATACCAAATCCGTATCCAAAATAAACACTGCTGTGCAGTTTGAAGAGCACTTATTCCACACA